GACGATTGAATCGATTTATCGTACAGTGCGATAGCTGCTGGATCGTTGAAAATACGTATGATTTTTTTCCTCATCTGCTGAACCGAAGACCAGATAGATACGTAGCTTTGATGGCACGATGTATTGCACTAGCCACTGTATTGTCAGGTGTTACAGTGCGACTTAGTCATACTGTCATTCTCTTTCTTTCCTTTCTATGGATATACCCTACTTAGTCATCTAGGTACTATGGGTCATCGCTATTTTCCTTGAGTTCTTCTTATGTCAGGGACATTCTTTTCTGCTTTAGTTTTCTCCCTTTGATGTTGGGTTTTCCTTAACCGATCATATATATATATGGTCGACATTTTCATGAATAAAAACGTTCTCCTTGATTGACTAGTTCTACCAAACAATCACGCGGTAACATTGGTGCACTGGCCGGCTTTTCTTGGTGATAAGCAACCGTTGCAATTGTGGCCAACCATCATCATTATATACGTAGTAAAGCTAATTCACAGCCGTTTCTTTCCTTATCAGACAACGAATCAGCATCACTTTTGACGAATCTTGAAATGGCATCTTCAAGCAATCTTGTTCCATCAACCCTTCCTATGAATGATCAAGACGTCTTATCTACACCTGATACTATCTCAAATTTAGCCGAGATCATTCACTGTCAAAAACAAATTCTTACTGAAAACCAACAGTTCAAGCATTTCCTCAATCAGCATGAAATTGCGATCAACAATCTGGTTCAATTGATCGATCGTTTAACTGATACAAATTCATCAATTGGGGCAATCAAGCCCGAAATTGCAACACATGTTGGTACGGTTAATTCATCTTCAGTAACCTTGGCTTCGAATCTCGATCCTGCAAATAAACAACTACGAGCGAAACAAATATATCAATTATTCGAATCAACAGCGTTCTCTGGATCGGCCATCCAGGATGTGGTGGATTGGCTTCATGAATTTAATCGCAAGTGTGAAAACATAATGTTAGATGATACTCAGAGATTATCTATTGCTCGATGATTGATGAAGAACGACGCAAAGTTGTGGATGGAGACGTTGAGCACTTCTCCTCTGAATTGGTCCCTATTTCAGCAGCAATTGACTGTTTTTCATTCAATGAACAATTGTATACTCGTCTGCAACAACTAAATGAAACCGCCATACATTATTATCATGATATCATGCGATTGTGTGCCAAAGTTGATGCCACCATGAGTGATATTACACGTTTACGTCATTTATACAGAGGGTTAAGACCCGAATCAAAGATTTTAATCTCGTTACATTCATTTAAAACTCCGGGCAAATTTTTGCACGAATTAGTCCGATTGGAACAACTTCAAAAGGTATCTGAATCTTCATCAAAAGTCACATAAATTAACATGGCATCATATTCTTCATCTATGCCGAACGATATTCCATATCATGCAAACCGTCAAGGTTCATACCAATTGTTTCCACAACCTCAAGGATCATATCGTTCAAACCCCAGTCGTTTATCTTCTCATCAGCGCTATCCACTATCTCCATCGCTTCGTGACAACAATCGACGTTTAAACGCATGATAAAAACAGCGAATGATGATGCTGTTTTTCCTTTCTGTAAAAACCCATCGCTTACTTTCATGACTGGCTCTCTTGAAAAAGGTTCAATCCGCATTCTAATTGATACTGGCGCTCCTTGTTGCTTCATTCGATCATCTGCCTTGAAAGCATGTCGCTTGACTCTTACAAATGCTATCCCCCAGACATTTCTACTTGCTGATGGAACCACTTCAATCTCAACGATGGGAACAGCTCGTCTTTATATCCGAATAAATAGATTACTCACATCTATTCAAGCCTTTGTTGTTCGCAATCTGTCCTGTGAATGTATTTTTGGTATGGATTGACTATTAACATATAAACTTGATATCTACAACATTACACTGAAAAAAAGAGTCGAATAATCTATGTTATTTTTTCCTAAACGCTTTCATCAACCCTCACAGCGTTTATCATGTAGGCAAGAACCCCCAAATAGTCTCTGATATAAACCGTACATGACACTAACGGTAGAAGAGAAATTCAAGGGAACAAGATCAAATCTCAAATACTCATCCTTTGACATTTCTTCAATGAAGGTTTTCTATTCTACGAGTTACGATATTTTATTCTACTTCAATGTGAGGCACGTTTCGTATTCTACTTCTAACCATATATGATCTACCATGCCATTCATTTGGGTTTAGTAATCTTTGAACAAGGGTAGATTGTTAGACGATAGACTCAGATGGGTTTATTACTATTCGATTTCATCGACAGAGTTTTTTGTTCTACATTTTCGGGAGAAGGATTTATTATTCTACGACTGCAATGCTATATTGTACAGTGAAGAATGAAAGAGTTTCGTCTTACACGAAGAAGCAGTGTCGTCCAAAACAGTGTGACAATCATGCGTAGAACTCAAGCCATCATTCAGTGTACATTGTTTTCAATAGTCCCCATGTAAACTGCTTCGGATTTATCTCTTTAGCAAAGCTCTGCCTGCTTTTCTTCATTATATCATTGGCAGCGCAAGTGGATGTTGTGATCTTTGCATCAGTTTGATGATGCTCTTTACTTTTCAATCGTTCAATGCAGGTTATTCTTAAAAAGACAGTAGAAATTTTAGTTGTTCTCTTGAAATTCTATGGCTCTTCAACCAGAATCTTTTCTTTTATGTTTTTTCCAGCATCGGTATGTATAAGGATTTTTTAATAGCCATTACCCAATTCAACATTGTGTTGTTGTATATTCAGCGCGAAACAGTATTTGAGGTTTCAAATAGGGGTGGGACTTTACTTTTACTTTACTAGTAACTACGTAACTACCGTAGTTACTTGTACATAGTAAATGTAGTATGCACTAAAAGTATATCAGTTCGATAATAGTTTCTGTCTGAGAAACTATTCAAAACGATTTTTAATGAGAGTGTGGGTGTGCACTCTAAAAAAAATCGGCTCTTTACCGAACCCCCAAAAAAGGTTCCGGAGATTTCAAAAAGCATCCAAAGGTGTCCAAAGTTTCAAAAAAAGGATAAAAAATCTATGAAACCTTT